GAAATAGTGGTACCTGTTCCTGTTTCACTGTACATGCATATACTATCTAACTAAAGCAGGCTAATAGGGTTGGTTTTTATTTTATTATAAATATTTGAATCTCAGAAGAACTAAAATTACAAATAACTCAAAAGTTAATGGAAAGGTAAATGGTGTTAGCATGTTCAAATGCATAAGTGATGATCAGAATGTGAAACATAATTAAAGGAATGTTAAAGATATGATTGATGATACATGGAAGGAAGGAAGTGGGCCAGTTATGAAGCAAGACTGGAAATGTAGAACTTGAGTCCTTCATTGGTACCTCCAGATAATAAAGACCAAGCAAGACTCTAGACATTGGCTAGATACTCTATGAAGGATTTATGGGAAAACATAGACTAGAATTGTGCATCAATCACTGAGAGACTGAAAAACCATTAAGAGGTAACTAGCTTCATTAGTGGAAGAGGTTGCCACACTGATGAAATCACAAATCCATCAAGGTATGACTTATATTAATACCTAATTATTTATGGGACGACATACTATAATTTTGTGTCCTTCCATCTTTCTGTCTTCCCTCCCTCCCTCCCTCTCTTCATCTCTCCTTCCCTTCCTTTCTTCCTTCCTTCTCTCCCTCCCTCCTTCCTTTCTTCCTTCCTTCCTTCTTGACTTTCTGTCTACCCTTTATCCTTGTCTCCCTGCCTTCCTATTTGCTTGCCTGCCTGCCTGCCTTCCTTATTTTTCTTCCCTCTACCCTACCTGTCACTGTCTAACTGTCTGTCTTAGTTCAAAGTAAAGTTCATTTGGTCCTCTGGGTTTCACTCTTGGACCTTGGACCTTCGCTTAGATTCAGACTTGCTACATAGTTCTTAGATTTATTAAACTCCTGCCTTCCTGTTCTTTAATTATTCTACTTCTAACCACCCAAATCTTCATTCCCTTACTATCCCTCCACCAGATATGCACTCTGGTCTCATGCTCAAGTATTACAAAGTAAGTGATTTCACTTAGCATGTGCACAGACATTCCTTCTACATCTCCTACTATAAAATGGGGCTTCTAAATGTGAGTAAGTTTTGAATATTAATCTGAATGAACAACAAATGTCTTAAGTCACTTTTCCTATAGATGATTTAACCTGACTTTTTACATTTAAATCTCAGAGACTATTACCATTAAAATTCACATCATTTCAGCCTTTTACAAAGTATGATATTCAACTTTGAGATCCAAACTTGTATATAAATTTCCTAGATTAATGGAAGAGGAAATAGAATACTTAACACCATCTTAGAAAAAAAAATTGAACAAGCCATCAATGAACTCCCTAAGAAAAAATCCCCAGGACCAGATTGATTCAAAAGCAATTTCTACCAGACATTTAAAGAACAATTCATTCCAATATTATATGAACTATTTGGAAAAACAGGTAAAGAAGGAATTTAACCAAATTCCTTTAATGACATAAATATAGTGCTAATGCTCAAACCAGGAAAAAGCAAAAATAGAGAAAGTAAACTAGACTAATTTCCCTAGTGAATATTGATGCAAATTTTTTAACAAAATACTAGCAAAGAGATTATGACAATGTATCAAAAAAATTGTACTTTTTATGACCAGGTGAGATTTATACCACAGATGCAAGGATGGTTCAATATTAGAAGAATTATTATCAAAACTGACCATATCGATAACAAATAGAACAAAAATCACATGCTTATCTCAACAATACAGAAAAAAAACTTTTTGACAAAATGCAACACATTCTTTTTTAAAAAATACCAGAAAACACAGGAATAAATGGAGTTTTCCTTAAAATGATAAGAAGTATTTATTTAAAACCATCAACAAGCATTATCTACAATAAGGATAAGCTAGAAGCCTTCCCAATAAGATGAGAGGTGAAGTAAGGATGTCCATTATCACCACTATTATTCAATATTGTACTAGAAATGCTAACTATAGCAATAAGACAAGAAAAAGAACTTGAGGGAATAAAAACAGGCAATGAGGAAACAAAACTATCATTCTTTGCAGAAGATATGATGGTATACCTGGAGAATCTGAGAGAATCAACTAAAAAATTAGTTGAAATAATTAACAACTTTAGCAAAGTTGCAGGATATAAAATAAATCCACATAAATAATTAGCATTTCCATATGTTACTAACAAAGTCCAACAGCAAGAGATAGACAGATTTCATTTAAAATAACTGTAGACAATATAAAATATATAGGAGTCTACCTGCCAAAACAAACCAGGAACTATAGGTACACAATTACCGAATAATGCAGCAGATTGGGTACCTAATACATGGTAGTAAATTATCATAGTAATCTAGTGTTTGATAAATACAAAGATCCCAAGCTTTTGAAACAAGAACTAACTATTTGACAAAAACTGATGGGAAAACTGAAAAGCAGTTTGACATAAAACTAGGTTTAAACCAGCATCTTACAGCATATAAGGTCAAAATGGGTACATGATTTAGACATAAAGAGTGATATCCTAAGGAATTAAGGGAGCATGGGGTAGTTTACCTGTTAGGTCTATGGATATGGAAAGAATTTATAACCAAAGAAGAGATAGAAAGCATTAATAAATATAAAGTCCATAATTTTGATTACATTAAATTAAAAAAATTATGCAAAAACAAAACCAACGCAGCTATGATTAGAATGAAAGCAAAAAACTGGGAAAACTTTTTTTTTACAGCAAGTTTCTCTGATAAAGGTCTCATTTCTCAAATATATAGAGAATTGAGTCAAATTTATAAGAATACAAGTCATTCCCAATTGGTAAATAGTCAAAGGATATGAACAGCTAGTCTATCTATAGTCATATGAAAAAATTGCTCTAAATCACTATTGATTAGAGAAATGTAAATCAAAATAATTCTGAGGTGCCATGTCACACCTATCAGATTGGCTAATATGACAGAAAAGGAAAATGACAAATATTGGAGGGGATATGGTAAAATTGGGACACTAACACACTGTTGATGGATTTGTGAACTGATCCAACCATTTTGGAGAACAATTTGGAACTATGCCCAGAGGGCTACAAAATTGTGCACACCCTTTGACCCAGCAATATCACTACTAGATATATATCCTATCCCAAAGAGATAAAAAAGGGAAAAGGACTTACATGTAAAAAAAATTCATAGCAGCTTTTTTAGTGGTGGCAAAGAATTGGAAACTGAGGGGATGCCCATCATTTGGGAAATTGCTGAACAAATTGTGGTATATGTTGTGATGAATGCTATTGTGCTACAAGAAATAATGAGCAGGCTGATTTCAGAAAAACCTGGAAAGATTTACATGAACTGATCAGAACCAGGAGAACATTGTACGCAGTAATAGCAATATTTTATGATGATCAATTGTGAATGACTTAGTTATTCTCAGCAATACAAAAAGCCAAGACAATTCTGAAGGATTTCTGATGAAAAATGCTGTCTATTTCCAGATAAAAAAGTGATAGGGTCTGAATGCAGATTGGAGCATGCTATTTTTAGTTTCTTAATTTTTTTTGGTCTGTGTTTTCTTTTACAACATGGCTAATATGGAAATATGTATTACATGATGGCACATTTATAAGCTGTATCAAATCACTTGCCTTCTCAATGGGGATGAAGAGGAGAAAAAAATTTGGAACTCAAAATTTGAAAAAATAATGTTAATATTGTTTTTACATGTAATTGGAAAAATATGTATATTTTTTAAAAAAAGAGGTTCAAACCCTTCAGAGAAACAATGAACTACTCCATTGAATAATAGCCCCCCTCTATTTCAAGTTCCTGGAACCCTCATACACCCCTGTGCTAGATTTAGGAGTCATGGATAAGTTGAACCTTTCAGTGAGCTTTAAAGGGAAGAGGAGGAAAAGAAAAAACATTACTTTCTTAAATGCTCAGAATTGGCAGAGAAATCTCTGGTTCATTCTACATGTCTAAAGTGATATTAAACATCGAAGTGATTATTTGCATAACCTAAAGAAGAGCAGAATTTTTCTTTGTCTGTGTTTATGCACATGTATGTGTATGCATATATTCCTACATAGGAGAGGCAACATAATACGTAATCAATCAAGGACTGGTTTTCAAGTCAGGAATAGTTGAATTCAAGTCCTTCCTCTAACAGATATTGAGTGTATAGCCATGACCTCTTAGTTCCCCACAAGTTACTGCAAAGTTACTAATCTATATCAGAGGTGGCAGTTTATACCATGGGAACTCCCTAAACCAATGAAATCACAGATCCAAACTAAAAAAACTTCACTATATATGTACACCTATGTGTGCAAATTCTTATACATGTATGGCTATATACATATATATGTATATATACACATATATATGTATATATATACATATATATTTGATGTTTACCTTCCAGAATTCCTCACAAATATGAGATAAGATACTTCTATGAACACAATAAATTGTTACTACCCACAACCTGAAAATCTCAGAGAAAAAAATACAATTTTTCCTCAGTAAACCAGTTCTTTATTTCAGAATTTCATAACATTCTTTTTTTAGTTATTTTTTATTTTAATTTAGTATTTTGTTTTTAGTATTTTCTGATTTTTCTATTATAATTCGTCTACAACAATAAGTCACTAACATTTATACAGTACTTTAAGTTATGCAAAGGTTTTTTGCACATTATTTCATTTGATCTCATGATTTGGAAGTTACAATGTCACTGTATAGAATTCATGGTCACCAAAAGCACAGGACCAAAATCTCTCACTAGCCTTCAGTTGCAGGTTTGGATTCTGCTGTCAAAGCTGCAAAGGTAACTTCCCAAGGGTTATAACCCAGAGCTATCAGGGACTCATAAATAGGTGACAGCATAATCCCAAACTTCGTAGGTAACTTCTGCATCTGCCAAATAAATTCAGACAAATGGATGCCACAAATAATCATATACTCACACACAGAACTTTCAAGTAGAATCTCTACTTTAAAGCTTTAGTTTATCCATAAAGAGCAACAGGTCCCTACCTGGAAGACCAAGAATAGTGTAATATGGCCGGCACTCAGTAAAACCTGAGCTCTGCTTCACACAGCTCCTCCAAAGCCCTTCATACTGGAACACAGATGTTACTGGGTTGTCATACAAGTCCTGGGTGCTCCACGTGTCTAGCCCTGTGGCAGCTATGCACCCTGCAAATCCCAGGGTAGACAGGATGAACCCCATCATTTGGCAAAGGGTTGTTGACATGGTCTTTCTTCCCACGTCCTCTTCCCTTCACGACAGGAGATATAGCTGAGTTATGTTTATGGGTGCAGCGGACTTGATGGAAAAAAATGAGTCTTCTTAACCAAGCCACTAGGAGGGGAGCAGCTCTTTAATCAGTTGCTTTCCCTCTGCTGTAGGTATTTGTTCAAAGTGTTTTCCTTAGATAGTCTAGTCTCACTCTTGGTAGGCAGGAATTATTTTCCCTTTTGTTCAAAAGCTAGAGTGAGTGGGCTCTTATCCTTCTGAGTTAAGCTGGCTTGGCTTGTTTGAGAGCAGGGACAACCTTCACTACAATGAAATTCTTTTAGCAGCCTTGCTTCCCTCTTCTTGGTTTAAGCCTACATTACTACCCATACCCAAAGACCTTATCATGGGTTGTACTTACTGTTTAGGAAGAATGTTTTAAGTGTTTTCACATCATAAAAAATAAACCAGTAATAAGCTCTTCCTGTCAATTATGTGAGGGCATGAGAAGAGAATTTCAATAGCGGTAACATGCCTTGCAATTTTGTGATGTTTTAAATTATTATACTATGCTTTCACAGATGTTTTCTCACAAGTATCCTGTGGAGAGGAAAGGGCAGATAACCTCACTTAGAAAGAGAGGTAACCAGTACTCATAGACTCAAAGATTTATAGCTGGAAAAGATTTGAAAAGTTATCTAGTCCATGTCCCTCATTTTACAGATCAGGAAACTAAGGTCAAGAATGTTCTAGAGACTTACCCAAGGTCATACAAATAGTACAGTTAGGACTGAAAATAGTCTTCTGATGGACTTCCAATATCATGTCCCTTCCACTAACCTTTAAGAGATTCTGCTTGAAAATGAGACTTCTAAAATGGATAGATAGGAAGGCCCAGGGCATGGAAGAGATCAAAACATTACACATTAAAAAGAGTCTTCATACTATGGAAGCACAACTGGTTATCATTTTCTTCTGGTGACCTAGATTGGTTTGACATTTTTGTTCTCTGAAGAAAAGATACCAGCTGATTAAATTATAGGTAATTAGTGGAATATGTGAGTTAATGTGCAGTTATTTACTGTTCAAATCCTCAAATGTATCTATGATACAAACCTGCTCATGTAGGTATTCCCTCCAATGATGCAGATTGGATGGAATCCATCCATAAGCAGTCTAAAACACAAGGTCATAGATTTACAACTAGGAAGGACCAGCTAAGTGGTGTAGAAAATAGAGTGCTAGATTTAAATTCAAGAAAATCTGAGTTCAAATCCCAACTCAATCTCTTAATAGTTGTGTGACACTGGGCAAGTCACTTAACCTTTGCTTCCTCATTTGTATGTTTCCTCATTTGTATGACTCTTATGTCTTTTCATAAATTTGCTACAAGACATTCACCCCAAATGATGAGACTTTTCCTAGCTTTTTCTTCACATTGTGAGGATACCAGTAGAACACCTACATTGTCCACTAGTTAGCTGTTGCTCTCATCTTGTGACAAGGCCAATTTCTTTTTAAATCATACATTTTTCTGATGCCATCTTTTACTTTGATTTAATTTCTCATATGTTATACAATAGAGACCACTGGGGGAACACTGAATAGAGTAGTGGATTTGGAGTCAGGAAGGCTTGTGTTCGAATCTTGGCTCAAATACTTACTAGCTGTGTGACCCTGGGCAGGTCATTTAACTTTTCTTGGCCTTGATTTCCTCATTTCTAAAATGAGAGGATTGAATTCAAGAACAACAATAATAATAGCTAGCATTTATGAAGCATTTTCAGATTTACAGAGCACTTTACACATGTTATCTCATTAATTACCACCACAATACTGTGAGGTAGGTGCTATTATTATCCTCATTTTATAGATAAGGAAACTGAGGCAAACAGAGGTTAAGTGACTTAGTAAGTGTTTAAATCGGGATTTAAACTTAGGTCTTCCTGACTTCAAGTCTGGTACTATATTCAATGTGTCATTATGGTCCCTTCTAGTTTAAAATCTATGTTCTTATATGTTGAAGACTGCATACATACACCATGCACAATATCTCCATTACTCTCTGAGCAACACTAATTTTTATTTCTTTGGAGATAATAATGTTCCACACTTCACAGCAACATGAGTTGAATATTGGTATTTAAAAAATGACTTCTTGTTTCTGGGAGAAGTTTGGGGCCATTAAGTGATTTTTTTAAAAGAGCATCCTACAAAATTATATCCAACTCATGTAATTTTATAGTGTGCACTAAGGAACTAAAATGCATACTGTACTCCCAAAGAAAATTATAGCATCTTTTCCACAAGAGTTTTCAGTACAATAAGCCAAAGCTCCAGTACATCATGAGGAGAAAATAATTCTTTGGCTTAAGTTATCTAGTACTGGTATCTCTATGCTTAACATTATCAAATAATTTATAAGACTATTATTTAATTTTGGTTTTGTGTACCTAGCCTCTAAATGTTTATAGAGGTTTTAACTACATTTCCCCCAAACCTGGATTTCAGGGCACTCCCTAGACCACTTAAAAAACAATCAATCTCTCCATTCCTCAGTGATACTGTATTGGGAAAGCAGCACTGTACTTTGGGGCATTTCAATGTTATCTTTGCTGTACCCAACTTTTGTTCCAACTTTCTTTAGTCTTAGCAAACACAGTAAGCAAACATAAAATGACTCTCGATTAATTAAATGGTTTTCTCCCTCTTTTGTATTCCTTAACATAATTTCTCTAAGATAATGTACACACCAATAGTATAGTTATAGCTCAAAAGTAAGGAGACATTGACAAATGGAGACCCTGAATGGAGTCACAGAGACCAGGGCCATGTGATATTGGAATTAGAATGAATTAAATATTCTCTGACCAGGCTGATGGCCTGGGAACTTTTGGAGGGTAGTTTAGGGAACAACACTAGCTTACAGGTCAAGAGGTCTGGGTTCTAGGCTTGGTTCTGGGCCTTGGGTAAGCCATTTCTCTTTTCTGAACCTTTGCTTTTTCATCTCTAAAATACTCAATTATTCTTGGATTCTTTTCGTCCCTAATAGGCCTAGATTGCTTGGTTTGATGATTAGACTGAAAATTATCATTGGAACAATTCTGGAAGTATTGTACCACTCTGCAGGTAGATGTGATCTTATTTTACTTTCCCCCTAACTGCAGGGTCAAGGGTTTCAACAGTAGCATTTGATTCCCATCATAAGAGTTTTCTTTTGGCTTTGTCTCCAAATATTCATCTTGTGACATTTGGAGTCTTTGTCTACATGACAAGAAAGCAGCTGGTTCAAAGTGAAAATAAAATTTTCAATGATCTACCTTTCTAGTAGTTAGCTGTACACAGGGCCAAATGTCCAGATGATTGGATAATCAGATATGAATGATTGACATAACTTTTCCTTTTCTATCTTGGTACCATGCAGATATATCTAAAACTTGATGGATCTGAGATTTCATGGATAGGCACACACTTTTTACTAGTGTACATCTAAGCCCACCTACATCTTCTCATCCCATTTGACTCACTCATATCCTCCCATAAATCCTCTATACAGATGTACTTATCAATTTTAGAAGTATGCCTCTATGTATTTTGACACTGCATGGAAACCAGTACAAAAATTGGGCTGTCCCTTAATGTCCCCGTATGATCAATTCACCCCACCCCTTTTTAAAGTCATACTGAGGTTCAATGATGCCCTTTATTCTATTATCTCCACACAAGTCGTTGTGGGCAATTCTGAATCCTACTTACACTCTGCATGTATCTTTCCATTGATCTTTGGGTTACTTGAAAATTTCATTTTGCTTGAGATTGAATTGTAGTTGAATACAACCAACCCAGCCCTACCTGTCTTAAATCCACAGGAGTCTACCCGAGTCACAAAGACATGGAGTTTTGAAGTGTGTGTGTGTGTGTGTGTGTATGTGTGTGTGTGTGTGTGTGTGTGTGTGAGAGAGAGAGAGAGAGAGAGACAGAGAGACAGAGAGACAGAGAGAGAAAGAGACAGAAACAGAGACAAACAGAGACAGAGACAGAGACAGACAGAGGGACAGAGACACAGAGACAGAGACAGAGAGAAACAAAGAGACAGAAAGAGATAGACAATACTTCAACTTTTGCACTCAATTTTGGAGAAAGTAAGGGAAAGCCTCTTTCCTTCTGGCTTCTTGCTTCATTTATAGTAAGGATATCAATAGAGATATGGTTCAGATCCTTCAGTAGAATATCATGCCTATAGTTGTTAGACAAAGATCAAACAATGCAGGCAAAGAATACAAGACGTTAAAATAATTTAAAAAATCTTCCTAGGTAATAGAATATTGAATTGAGCTCTTTCTTTCTCTTTCTTTCTTTCTTTCTTTCTTTCTTTCTTTCTTTCTTTCTTTCTTCCTTCCTTCCTTCCTTCCTTCCTTCCTTCCTTCCTTTCTTCCTTCCTTCCTTTCTTTCTTTCTTTTAAATTATGGAAATGGTGCCAATGACTTTGTCTAGGCAAGAAGAAAAAAAGCCTGTTTGAAAATATAAAAGAGAAACTAAGACACTGAAAAGTGAATAATTCAACCAATTATATTTGGCCTATATAAAATCAAATATTTAGTTGTTTTGAAAACACTTGGATGATTGAATTTTTTCCTTCTTATCCATATGCTCAGTGTCGCATAGACCCAGAAGATTGTCTGGTCACTGTATGAACACTTCACTGTTTTAAGTTGATACAGCACTTTTATTCATAAAATGAATTACCGCTGTCAAAACATTGAATAAAGAGTCACAATGAAAAAAGCCATCTATTCATTAACTGTGACAGAGTTTCTTGGAAAGTATTGAAACCCCAAAGATGTGACTGTAAAAGAAAACAGGTTTCTGATCTTATTCAATAATAAAGACATCAGTACAACAGGGTTTAATCACCTTCAAAATGAAATACAATCATCTGCTAACTCAGTGGTAGAAATCGTAACCTAGCTGACTTTTTACAAAATTAATTATTGAGCCAAAGGCCCAACCTTCTCGTAACTGATTTCCTCACCCTTCAGAAAGCCTTTCCTTCACTGTTGCTAACAATGCCTTTGACTTATTATTAGTATTGGAAACTGTTGTTTTTCTCCCAACTAATAACTTTTATTCAAATATTTTTTGATGTCAGACTAAATTTCCCAATATACCTCCCATTGAATGCTCCCTTCACACAAAATAAAATCTGAACAAAGGCTAACAAAGCAATTGACTCTCACTCTCTCTCTGTCCTACTCTCTCTCTCTCTGTGTATATATGTATGTATGTACGTATATATGTATGTATGTATGTATATGCAACATTCCATCTCAACAACAAAAAGAAAGGCCTCCAACAGAGTAAAATATACTAGCATTACTCTT